CTGGTGCTCTGATGCTTAAATTACTCARTCAATGTGAAGGTGCTGCCCCTTTATCCCTCTGCAGCAATCAGGCTGGACCATCAGGCCTGTTCTGCTCTGTCTGGACAGGATCAGTAGCACACCTTGTATGAGAAGTCCCAGGARAATGTGATGTTGATGGAACTCAATGTATTTTACAGAAAACATAATTAAGAATGTCTACYGAGCTTAAGGTTTGATTGCTATTACCTGGTATCTGTATAAATATATAAATATAAAGAGCATATATGAACATTACTTGTACTATCATCCTTTTGCTGATCCTTTATTCCTGACACACAAATGGACAGGGACGCTGAATCTAAAGAGTGTAAGAGGCCGACTTTACATTCATCCCTCTCCATCAGCTGACAAGCTCCTCTTTTCACATAGAGGGAAGGCAGATGAGCTGACTGTCAAAGAATCACATCATCTACAACAGGCATCAAACACAGCTCAATGGGAATTCCAGGGAGAGAGGAGCTGGCATGTTTTAGGCAGGCGAATCCCAAAACATTTTGTACAATGCCAACTGCATTAGCAGCAGGGGAGACTGAGAGACAAGAAATACCTATGAGCACAAACCTATAGTCAGAATTAATTTCTAAAACTCATACATGTATGAACACTCGTAATTCTTGTCAGTGCAGAAGGCAGCAGTAAGTTGTCATCTTTCCTGAGTATGATTGAATTTATTTAGCACACTTTAGAACTTGGCAGATTTTTAAATTACATTGCTAGATGTGGATTTAAATTATTTCCAACAACAACAGCAATCCTGTGTCAGGATTAATATGCAAACAGAAGTGCAGCTTCAATCTTTTCTTCCAGTYATTCTTTATCTATTTTTATAGCTTTATCTGCACTCTAGTGCATAAAAAAAAAGCTGAGTGTTATGAGGACATCCCTGAAATGCATACGTTAAAGCAAACCATTAGAGCTCTGTTAAACAGRTGTATTGAGTGGGGCACAGACACAAGGGCTTGAACAGGACACAGTTTCTGTTCTCTCTCTGTACCAGGCCTTCCCATGAGATCTGTGCTCCACTGCAGCCATTTTCTCATCATCTGAAACTGGGAGATACCTAATATGTGAGAATATTTGGGTCAGAAGCTCCCGCAGGCTATTCAGAGCCTCCTCTGTTCCTGACTTTCCTCACAGCAGCATCTGATCATTCTGTGCTCCCTCTTACACCCACAGAGTTTTCACRGGGACAGCACCAACTCTCAATTTGTGCTACAATATCTGTCTTCCGAAAGACTGACACATTTGAGGAAACATTGAGTTCTGAATGAGGATAACTCAGGGAACTAAAGGATGGTGCAAATCCTCCTGGAAGCCATTCCCAAACAAATGGAGAAGAAGGTGCAATCAACACGGGTGTATGAAGGGGAAATCATGTCTGATGAACCTGAGAGCTTYCTGTGCTGAGAGGACTGGGTGGGAGGTTGTTATCTGGACTTTAGTAAGGTTTCTGACACTGTCTTCCATAATATCTTCAAAGACAAAATGATGAATTATGGGCTAGATAAATAGATAGTGATTTGGACTGAAAACTGGGTGGGCTCCTGGTCATAAGACATGGTGTTTGGAAACAAAAACTCCTTTCATTAGGGGTGTAGCCAGGGGCTGATAATGCAGCCACTRCTGTTTAACAACTTAGTCAGTGACCTGGATGGTGGGATAGAGTGTATCCTCAGCAGATTCACAGATAACACAATACWGGGAAGAGTGGCTGACACACCCGAGGGTTGTGCTGGCATTCAGAGGTGCCTGGAGAGCTGGTGAAACGGGAAAAATGGAATTTCCTCGAGTTTGACAAAGGGAAGTGCAAAGTCCTGCATGTGTGCAGGAATGGAACACGCTGGGGGTCACCTGTTTGGAAAGCAGTTTGACAGAAGTACCTGGTGGACTCTAAGCTGAACACAAGCCAGGAAGGTGCTTTTGGGGCAAAAARGGCTGACAGCCCCTCAGGATGCWTCAGGAGTGCTGCCAGCAGGCTGAGRGATGRTCCTTTCCCTCTGCTCAGCACTGGTGAGGCWCAYCTGGARWGCTGCACTCCAGATCTGAGCTGCCCAGTCCAAGAGGGACATGGGCACACCAGAGATAGTCCAGCAAAGGGTCACAAAGATGGYGAAGGGACWGGAAAACCTTTCAGYTGAGGAAAGGCTGAGAGAGCTGRGACTRTTTAGTSTGGAGRAGGCTCAGGGGGATTCTSWTCAACATTTATAAATACCTGATGGGAAGATGGATCCAGACTCTTCTCAGTGATGTCCAGTGAAAGTAAAAGATGAAATGGACAGAAATCGAAATACAGGAAATTCCATTTAAATGTAAGAAAAGGTTTTTTACCGTAACAATGATTGAATACTGGAACAGATTTTCCAGAGAGGTTGTGGAGTCTCCATCCTCAGAGATATATTGACTGGACACTGTCCTGAGCAACCTGCTCTAGGTGATCCATCTTGGAGCAGAGGGTAGAACTAGATGATCTCTAGAGGTCCCTTCCAGCCTCAGGTGTGCTGTGATTCTGTGACAATCCAGAAGTCCCTGTCTTTCTGCCAGGTACAAGGGATGGCTCACAGGGTGGAGCCAGAGAATGGAGAAACAGAAGGAAGCACTGGAGCAGGGATTCCCCATTTGCTTTCAGCGAGAACTCTGCTGACACCAAGGGATGATCACCAGGTTTTGGGACGCCACAATGAGGTCACAAATGTGTACAACAAAGCCTGTGACTGCAGTCATGGCAGCTCTGCATTTAGTAGAATTTTTATCTATCTTAAAGGCTCAATCCATATTTAAAGATAAGAATGATTTACTCACCTACACACACACACACACACACACACACACACATAGAGCTTAATCACAGTTTTAATCAAACCCAAGCACAAGCATGAGCTACAGGAAACATCTGTAATTGCTAATGAGGCCTTCAGTACTTTCACTCATTAAGCCCTTGGTCAACTTCTTGTTAACATCCCAGCCATCTGTCCCTCCACATTTGCTGTACCTAAGGAAAACAGGCTTCTACTTCCCTTTAGRCACCAAGTCCCTTTGAGAGTTAAGAGCTGCTTTTGTGACAGCAAATGGAGAAATACGAGTATCACTGCACAGCTGCAGTGGCAACTGAAGGATCCAGAAAACCAAGGAGGAACAGTTAAATCCCAGTCAGCCAGAGAAGTCCAGTGTTGGTGTGTAGGTACAAAGCTAGGGTATTTCAGAACATAGGGACAAAAAATGCAGCTTGCTGTGGAGCAAAGGCTGTCTAATATGTCAGCAGTAATCACCCCCAGTCCCATCCATTTACCTTTTTGCCTGCTTTTAAAGTATCACCCTTGAAGTGATAAGCAGTTTTTGTCCTGCTCATACCCATCATACCCAGCTCCCCCAGTCACTGCACAGAGGGGTGGATGTGCTGTGGCCAAGAAGGCCCTCTCCAGCCTTCTTTAGCCACACTAAACACATCAGTGAAGTGTCCCTGCTGTTTTTCACAGCTGCTTCTTTTCAGCTGGCTCTCACCACATCCATTGCATCTCACAGATCTCGCGCTGACTGATCCCAAAATCATAAAGACACAGCAAATTCGGACACAGAGCCTTCCCGCTCTGCCAATCTTSCCTTACACAATCCCTAGATATCTGGGGCATTCAACATATTGGCTTTACACAGCAAACTACACCTAGCAACCTTGCAACTGGAATGCAGCCTCCAAGAGAAGCACGTGCTGCTTCTATTCCTGCTCAGYGGGAGAGTCCCACTAGTGCCTGCTTGCCAGCATTTCTATCCTTCCTGCAAATGCTGCAGTCTCACACACCTTAGCAAGGAACACCTTGCCTGGCAGGCAAAGATTTGCTTTGATTCCTTTTACACAGATTCTTGTCTTGTTCATGTTTTTTTTTTCTTGTACCTCTCAGGGATCCAGAGAAGAGAAGAATCTGGGCAAGACCTGAACAGAAGGATGTTCTTTTAACATGCTCCAGCCCAGTGAACACTTCCTTGGAGAATAAGCTCAAGAGGGAAGGGGAAATGAAATTACCATCTTCCAGACAGGAAGGAGGCAGACTGCACAAATGTCTATCACAGGGGGGTATCACCATGACCATGACCCCAAACTTGCCTGCTCTTTGCTGTACTTATGGATCCAGGTGCATGAAAGATCTTCATTAACATACAAATACAAAAAAGCTTTTAGGGGAACAATCTGATTGTCTCTTGCACTGAACACTCTGGGACAGCCGTCTTCTGAGAAATGAAGATTAGGTATGACAGGAATTCAGAGCCTAGTGTATTGTATTTTTCCAGATAATCTAATACGTTACCTCCCACTAAAAAATGAACTGCTTTATAGCATCAGAGGAGCACAGGAAAAAGCAAAACTGAAAGAAAAAAAGCCCTCTACAGATATGGAAAAAACACAGCAGGTAAAGAACATTTCTGTGAGTAAAYACATGGGAACAGCAATGCCTATCACTGAAGTAAGGTTGATGGGATGTGTGTGCTGGCTACTCTGKTTTTTTAATTAGGTATTTAGAATAAAGTTTAATTTCAGGGAGTTATTTTATGGTTTGCATTGCTRTGGGCCTGTGCAGTGGTGATGTGTGATTGGATGAGAGGGCATTTTCTTGCCATACACTGCACTTGCTGCTGAGAAACGACGTGGAGAAGATTTGCTAGCAACACCTCCATACAGCTAAGMAGTTATTAACAAAACACTGTGGGAGAGCGTAAGAGGAGTGACTAGAGATACCCACAATCACAGCTGTGCTCTCCTCTTGCCCCTGTACCAAAATGGCTGAAATATCTTCRTAACAGTGTGTCCTCAGAAGGACGTCACTGGCTATTGGGAGCACTTCTAAGGCGCTCACAGCATTTGCCAGCACTGTCAGAWGAGTTTTATGGAATCAAAGGCTTCTCCAGCACAGCTGAGGTTTCCTAAGATGATGCTATGCTACAAAAAGGTACAGACCCAGGGATCTTACCTGTCTCTGAGGACCAGTAGGTTCAGATTCTCGTCTCCTTTGCCGGAGAGCTGGTGCTGAATGTAAGGGGGAGTGGGCTGGACTTCCTGTCTGCTGTTCATGTCTACTGTCAGACACTGTCTGAGAAGGTCCTTCGTGTCTGTGGGAACTGTCCTCCTCAGTCACGGGCTGCATMCCCCGACCTCGCCCATCGTGAGTCTTCGGCCTGACTGCAGCATCTGCCCCCAGGCGCCTCCTCTCTTCCCCATCTTCAATCGGCCTCAGCTCCTCGGGCTCCTCATCCGTGGTTCCAGAGGTGCTTGGCTCAGCACCGGGGTGGAAGTCCTTCAGCTCTGTCTCCTTATCAATGATAACCCACTCCTTGCTGTCAAAGTCCTCCTCCTCYGCGAGCGGCACGGAGCGGAAGGCGTTGCTGAGGGCCTCGTGCTCCACGGAGGCGGACACGTCCATCCTGCCGCTGGCCTGCCGGTCAGCCTGGCCYGTGTCGATGGACAGCATCTGGGCTGGCTGCGAGGAGCACACGAGCCGTGATGGAGAGCCAGGGATATCCATCCGAGACCTGCAGACACAACCAGARGCCATTACAAACACATTGGGTTTGGGGTTAAAGACAGCGATCCTAAGAGAAAACCTGTATAGTCCTTCTCACTCGTTTTTTGTTACACTGCAGAAAGACCGGCTTAAGCAGAACTATTTCTTTACAACCTACAGTGGCATTAAGAAGAAATGTTCCAGTATGACAGCCAACTCAGCATCACTTTCCCCTGCAGACAGGATGACAACCATTATCCCCCAACACTACCTTTCCCCTTTGATAAATTCTACTGGCTTGTGAAAAAAAAAACAAACCAACCCATGTTCTGATCAATGTTTCTCATTTAGCCTGCATCTGCTGCTTGCTGTGCTTCTCTGCCTATCTGAGAGGCCAGCAGCTTGCTCCACAAAGCCAGAGTGTCTGCTGCCCAGGTTTTTGGACAACCACAGCGTGCTTTCAGCAAGGATCATCCAGAAGCCTTGCAAACTCTTTTGGGGAAAGCCTTCCATGTGAGAGACATCAAAATTTTTGATGAAGAAAGGAGAAGCAGAGAAGGAGGTGAACCAAAGGTCAACGTAGATAAASTTGTGAGCACTGCCTGCTGATCTAATGATTAGGTTGGTCTCAACAGCCAATCCACAAGACTGCTAAAAGCAGCAGGAGGCCACAGAGGGTGAACAAACCTTCTTTCATGTGCATCTCCTTTTCCATCGGCCGTGGAGAGCCGCTCTGACTCGGGGCTGTTGACGCGGCGGTAGCGGAGGGAGCGCACTTGTGCGGTCGGGGACTCYGGAGGCACTCGGACAGGGGAACTGGGGCACACCCCGTTTCTCTGCTCCTCTTCCACCATGCACTGAGTCTGGAGGGGGGAAACACAAAAAACTTCAAGATCTTGCCAAAGACACTGATTTCCAATCCATCACTGTCGCTCTGGACTTTCTCCCAGGACCCATTTTCAGCTGCATTTTCACACTCTACATTAGCCACGTCTGAAGGGATGCAAGGGTCCGTGTGCCCTGGCAATCAGCTAATATTAAAATAAGATATGGATTTAAAATCAATTCAAATATTTAAACATCTTTACAAGGYGCCTGAGTGTTGATCCAAGGGGTTAAATCTGCATACACAAACCCTAAATGCTTATCCAAGAGCCTTGTTTGCCAACATTCATTGTTGCAGGGTCCATGCATTGCATTGCAAGGTACAAACTTTTACATCTGCTATGACTAAGGCATCTCCTAATTAYCAGGSTGGTTTGGGGTTTTGTTTGTTTTTTTGTTTAAATCTTGGTCCTCTAAACAAAGTCCTCCATGACATTCACTCAACCACAACATCTGTAAGAGCTTTTCTCAGACCCAATGAGGGAGCAGGGAGCTGAACATGTTCATGGACACTCTATCATTACATATTTCCTCTTCCATTAGGCCTTATTAAATTTGATTTCTTTTTTCATTTAGCAGCAGACAAAGGAGGAAAAGCAAGTGATCAACACATGTGCCTTCCACWGTGCTGATTCTCCTTGGAAGAGAGGGGCAAAAGCAAAGAGGCAGAATGGTCCAAGGGCTACAGCAGCAGTGTAGGATTTACTTTCCAGCCATGCAGCATCATCTGCTGCACACTGCCTCTGGGTGGGGATGTGAGTGCTCACCCTTCCCTGCTGCATGTCCTACATTCCCCTGTCCTCTGCTAATGCCAGAGGCTCTGGACACAGGCAGCATCTCATCTCTGCTGATCCAGACAGTTGYCTTTGTGCATGCAATGTGTTTGTGGCAAGTCAGTCCGTGCCCATAAATCAGCAGACCCAAACCACCCAGGCTGGAGTTGGAATGCATAACTAAAGAGCCTTTGCAGCTCAGGAAAGTGGAGAACTTCCAGACATTAGAGGAAAAGCAGGATAGATGGTAATGATTTAATCTGCAATCATGGCCAGGAGAAGGCCAGTGAAAAGGGAAGGTCAAATGTGTTTGTCAAAGGAGCAAAGTATTGATGTGACTTTGGGTAGCTCCAACTTGGTGAGACTCAAGAGCAGAGAGCTGGGGATGGTGTGGGAGACCAGTGACAGTAAACCCTGTCCCATAACAAAGAAATGGGAGAAGAGGGACAGGAGACCTGAACTGTGCAAACAGGGAAGTAAGGATCATGTTAGAGGGTTATTAGGGATGAAAAACATGGCAAGATCCACTCATCACCTAAACACAAAGGGAGAGCCAGTTAATTCTAGTGCTACAAGACTGGAAGATGCAGGATGTGATGCTGTGAACAGCAGAAGGGTGTTTAAACACACCAGTGCCCTTGTGCTTCTGAAAGACACAAAGGATGCCTCAGATTACAGGCAGAGGTAAAGCTGTGCCCTTTGGTATCAAATCTGAAGCATCCTCTTTTTATCCACATGGTGAATGTTACTTAAATAAAAACTGATCCTCTCCAAGAGAACGGTCAGACTAAAGATAATAAAGCCTAGCAAAGCAAAAGGACAGGCAAGAATCAAACTAAAGATAAAAACCCTCCCGGAGAGCAAGGACTTCAGCTTTGGGAAGAGTGATTCCCTGGGCTTTGCTGCACAGACTGCTGGGCAGCTACAGAACCTGTYGGAGCTGAAGTGCTCACTGCTGTAACTCCCCAAGCTCCTTTGGCAGCAACGTGACAACAAACAGCACAGAGACTGGCAGGAGAGGCACCTGACCCTGCTGGGGAGCTTCTAGAAACTTCTCCTGCCTTTAGCTGCTGCTGTGACAGGACTTGTGAATSAGGTACCTAAGACATGACACACAAYCCTGWGTAAAGTCTGACTGGAGAGCATCAAGGCATCTGGTGGTAGAAATGTACAGAAACACACACTAGAATTTTTCTGTAATACTCTTTTTAAAAAATGTTACTTCAACAGCCCTCTCCATCAGGCTTTCCTTATTTCATGTACCTTCAGATGAAAACTGGGAATGCAGAGTTATCAGTGAGAGACGAAGAATTAATTTGAATTTGGTTAATAAWTTCTCAGGGTGAAATGTTCCTGCTAATGTTMCATACAGATAATAAATTGATCTSAATTATTTGCACTGGAGAATTTTCMATAAGTTAKATTATTTCTTRTCCATGCATAATGTTTTCTGATAAGACTACGGATAGTGGAGATACCTACATTACTGAAATAAGGAATAACTTTGTACCATTAGAGACTGAAGAGAATTCTAGTCAGCCCCAGAATTAACAGATTTAACAAGCCAGTCCACAAATGTCCACTAAAGACAAGTTTGTCATGTGAATCTGATAAGGCCCAACAACATTTTAAGTCTGATGAGCATTTCTCTGCTAATAGATTTTGTATGTATCTGATGACCTACCTCTAATACTAATTTGCTGGCAATACATAAATTAATCTGATAAATAAACCATCAGATTCTTACACTTAACATTTACTATGGATTCATCAGTCACTGGGGATGCCTCCAAGAAATTAGGTAACATTTACAAGAAAGGACTGAGAAACACCCTAGAGATTATGAGGAAAATCAACTGAAGTGTACATATTTTACGTAAGGTAAAAATGTTTAGTATCATCTTGGAATGCAGAAATATGAGAATGTTAAGTAATAGTTGCTCTCACTCTTCCATTGTCAGATGCTCCTTATTGATTGTCCTACCCTTAGAAAGGACAGTTAAAAAAAGSAACATAAAAATGAGTGATGAATCAAGATACAGAAAAATATGGCTTAGGAAGATATCTCTGAATAAATTTATTGACCCAAGAGGTTGGGGCACAATAAAATGTTGTTTTATAATTTCCAAGCCTGGGACATTTCTGATGTTTTATCAGCTATGCAAGGACTAGAATTTCCTTGCTTAAARTATCAAAATCCTAGATAATTATATGATTGTGAAAAAGATTCACTTTAGCATTACTGACCCCCCAAACATCACTTGCATAAAAATCTAAATTAATCCCAATGGTTTTTATAGTTTGTAATTTCCCCTTTCCACAGAAAAATCCTTCAATGTTTTTTGGGTTTACTACATAGGATGCTACATCAGAGGATCTGAGTGGCTTCTARCAAGTCTAGGAAATCATTGCCCTAAATCCAACGGGAGAGAAGGAAATGCTCTTTACTTTGCTGATGCTGATCCTGAGTTTGTTGCGATTCACATCTGTCTCTTCCCAAACTTCACCCTCATTGAAAGCCGTGTTTGGAGCCTGACCAAGACCTTCCACTGGCCGACCTGACAGGATGGGAGGAGCATTCTCTTGGTCACTCAGATGTTCACCCTGTAGGACATCCTCAGTGTTCTCACGGAGCAGGTCCCCAGGTACCGGAGTGACATTAACCACCCTACAGAACGGACAAGAAGAAAGGTAAAATTATTGGTATAGAAAGAATRAAGCCCATCACACTGCCCCACAGGAATTTCTTAGCAGCTTTTAGGGTATTACCAAGTTGAAAACCAGGCAGCTTTATCCCAGATATGACATCCTGAATCAGAGCAGGAGGATTCCATCTAACATAAATKTACAAGGACAGTTGGATGGATCAGTGAAAGCATCTTGGAACCTTGWTACCCAGGCTGTCAGCTTCTTCACAAGTGCCCATCACACCTTATTGAGCTGTGAAGAAACCTCTCATTTTGCATTAGCAAATGAGGCTGACTAGACTTCACAGATTTCATCTTCTCTAATATTACCAGAGATTATTGTTATCCCCTATTGCCACTCCCCCTAAAAGCACCAAGGCAGACCAGGCAACCAGGCCTGATCAAACCTTTTTTATCTGGACTAATCTCCACCCCTGAGCATCAGTCTCTGTGTACCTTTGCAGCAGCACATGAAGCTGTAAAYAGGCTGAGGAGCTGTGTTGGAGCTGTGAGCACTCAGCTCACTATCCACCACCACAGACAACCATTAATATACCAAAACTCAGATCAAGTGGTGGCTGCCACACACTTCCAACTTCCCAGAATCATAATGGTCTTGGAATCTTTAAAAAAAATTACTGAACTTGTTGTCCTGACTGGTCAACACTCACCCAAACATGGCTGCTGTTTGCCTGGTGTTTTGCTGTGGTGGAGTTGAGGTGCTAGTGGACAACAAGATATCTGTACCAGCCTTCTCCCAGTCAAAGGCTTCGTTTTCAGTGATGCCTCTTTCTTTCATGCTGTTCTCGAAAACGGACATGATTAGCTGGAATAGATTCACAAGAAMAATTTAAGGTAAGTGGGTGAGAGTGGCTCTCACCAAAAATCTGAAGTACGTGCACAAGGACCAAGTGCAGTTTATAATCTCCAGTTTGCCTGTCAAAGGTATGAAGAAATGGAAGCAAAAGTTATAAAATTGCAACAATTGTTTCTCAGGCTGCTTGTGACTTCATAAGTGGAATTCCCTCAAACCTTCTTTTGTAAGAAATACATGCAACACTTTGACATTGATTCGATGAAATCTGGCCGTGGTCTTGTTACTCCAGCTTTAAACCCATAACTTCATTTCAGCTCTCCTCTAGATCAGACAGTGCATTATGCAGARCAGTACATTTGGTATGCAGAGTTCAAGGGCTGCCAGAAGACATAAACACAACAGGAAAAGGCAGCCCTAGGATGCAGACTCATTGCAGTGCCTGGCTCAAATATGGCTTAGTCAGGAGCCCTAGGTTGTGCTTAATGTGCACAATGTGGCCTGACACACTTGGCTGCCTAAGAAAATTAAACTCCAGAAAGGATGATAYGATCTTCCCTGTAAGATGGTAGGTATAAATACTCATGGTGATGTGCTCTATGCTTGTTGCTTTTCTAAGAACTGAAAAACATTTAGGAGAGAATGAAACTGCTGTCAATAGTTCTCCATGCACCAATGCATAACCAGAGAAATCTGATGTTCTGCTGTCAAACTGGATGCTGCAAGCCAACAGAGCTGTATGTGAGGTCCTGTTTTTCTAATAAAATTATTCAGCTAAATAATGCAGAACTGACAGGATTCAGCCTGTCAGTTCTGCTCTAAAGGGAGGGACAATGTGGTGGCAAACACATTTGGCATATGGCATAGAATTAGCACTAAGCTGTGAATAAAATTTACCCTGTTTGTATTTATATTCCAGCTCTGCTTATCAACATGATCAGAGAGCCTGCCATTTCCTACTGCCTTCCACCAAACTGCAGTAAAATGCCTACTTGCAACTTTCAGATGGGCCATCTTTTCTTTTTGTGACCCAGAACCCTAGAATTAGGTGCTCCACTCCTGCATTTGATTACCAGAATTTCCAGAGCTGCCTGTCGGTCACACCAAGGCACAGGAAATTCTTAGGATTGTATTTGTTTTCTCACTCATTACTGTCAAGTATCTTTCAGAAATTAACATCCCCACATCCTCAAAGATGCCTTGCAAGRACTCCACACATTTGTAGACAGATGCCCTGATAAAATCCATCCTGGCTTCTGTTCATTAGATCACCCTCAGCCATCTGTCCACYTAATCCCAGTCTTATCACAGCTTTTGATTCTTTGTGATGGACATGTCAGTGTCAGGGAGTGGTGTCTCCTGAAGCTATTTAAAAATTGGTACTGCTTCTGCCATCTTCCATTCCTTTGGCACTGAAGCAGTCTGAAGCAAGAAACCACATGATAAAATTAGAAGTTCAGCTGTCTTATTCTTAGCATTACTTCACGGACTCACTCACTCGAAACAACTTTTGTTACTTTCTGCTCTAACTTCTTCTGTAACTCTTGCACTTGACTTTGCAGACCATTAGGGATTTTACAGCCTTTTACWGTGCTCCCTGTAGGGTCTTTTTTCAGACCTGGTGGCCCCATCTGCCATTATTCTCGAGCTATTAAATGGACTTAYTGAGTCTTCTCAGCTTTCTCCGAAACCTTTACATTTCTGATGAAAGGTCAAAGCTTTACAAGGAGAAAAGTGGAGTGGAAAACTGTACAGAAGAGTCTCAGCAAGAACCACTGCTCCTGGAAAGCTGTGCAAAGAGCTCCTAGATCCTGTCTAGGGATCCTCTGCCTGCAGACACAATATTAGGGAGCAGAAGAGCTTCCATAATCATTGCAAGCCTCCTTCTGCTGGGCAAGACAATTCCCACTCTCTGAGTATCAAAACCACTAGTGGGATWAAGAAGAGGCCCAGTATGTTTCTCTAGTAATGTCCATAAGGACTAAGGACATAAAGCTTAATTGCACATTATGTAGTAGCATGCCATGTTTTGGGCTGATGTCCCAGAGAATGAGAGAGAGAAGCAGCCAGTGGTGCACAAATTATCCACTAAGCTGTCACAATAAATCCTGTTAAATGCCTTCTCTTGGCCAAGACTCAGGAAAGGAATCGCAATCAATCCTGAAATCTCACATCTAAAAGGCACCAAAACAGTAATGGATTGTCCATGTGCTCCACCCTTGAGTTCTTTGGGGTTTGTCTAGAAAGATGGAATCCTTCAACAGAAACTCTGGGCACAGAAAGTTGCTCAAGTTTCTAATCTGCATTGTAATCTACAACACAATATTTAAGAATAAATKTTAGGCAAGCCTTTTCAGTGACAGGGGTCCTCTTTGGATAAGTTCCTGGTTTGTGTTTATACATCCCAGAAGGATTTCTAGGGAGAAAACACTAGGACTAGGATGGAAGACACCCAGTAACTTGCTGTTTTGTTTACAACTGGAACAGAGGTAATTTTATCCCTAATAGCTGGTGCAGTGYTGTGTTTTGCATTTAGGAKGAAAACAGCGTTGATAACACACWGATGTTATCAGATGTTGCTCAGTTGTGGATTTGAGTGAATCTAAAGGAAGAGCTTCATATAGAAAATTAACCTTCCCTGCTCAGCCATTCTCTGACACCAACAGGTGACGTGATCATTTTTCCTTGAGTGAAATGCAATTCCCAATGCCCTGGCTGAGGGAATAGAATGGGTTCCCAGGCAAAGGCACTCCGATTTCTATCATCTTCCTGAAGCAAAGGTCACTACTTCTTTTCTGATATTCACGGAAAAAGATGGATCTTTGGGGAGAGAAGCCACCTCCACGAGCATACCTGAAACTGTTCTTCTGCCTGGACTGTAGGCAAGTGTAGTACAAAATATTTTCCACTCCATCCTATCTTCACTATCCCAGGGAAGAGGCACAGTGCTCTTGCTGTCAGATGAGTCAGAAAAAAACCCAAAATGCTGCTCTAACACCCACATCCTCCTGCTGTGAAATGCTGAAAGTTTGATCCTAAGCACAAACCAACACTGACAATGATCCATTAAAGGGACAGACCTGAGGCCATGAGCCCAGCAAGTGCAAAAACACAGGGCTTAAGATCCATCACCTGACATTTAAGTTTATTTTATTCTACCATCATTTTCTTCACCTCTGCTTAGGCAAAGCTTGTTCCATCTGTCCATCAGAGAGAAGTTATCTCTGGTCACACTTAGTCTCCAGCCACGGCCTGGTTCCTCTCTCTTCTGACATCATCTCCGGGGCCCAGAACTGTGGTAAAATTGCCACTCAGCATGACATGTGCTTAGGACAACCTAAAACTTCAATTCTCATCTTTAAATAAACCATGACTTTATATATAAAGTAAACACACTTTCCCAATTTCCTTAATTTCCCTGTGGGTCTGATAATCGTGATAAACTCAAATGCCCTCTGGTATAGTTTAAAATCTTTCAGAGCAGTACATCCAGATAAATCAACACAAAGACATCTCTGGAGCTGAGATGTCTGGAGAATTTGCTGTCAGGAAYAGATTTCCAAGTCAAGATAGAAAAATCAGAGTTAGGTGACAACCTGCAGATGCCAGACTTTTGTGGGGAGTTCCCTTTTGGAGGCRTCTTGCCCAAGCTGCAAGAACTGAAGGCAAAAAGGCAATTCACAGCTTCAGTCAAATGCCCTACTGTGAAAGAGCTGTTTGTGATTTGCACTGCCTGAATTCCATCTGGAAATATCTCCTTCCATTCCAGTCTCAAGGATAGCTTTTCAGTTCCATTTGGACACAATTATTTTAAACTGGAATAGGATACAGGAGCATGTAGGTTCAGAARGAGCTTTGGAAATCTCTAATCTAACCATCTGCTCAAATCAGAGCCAATTAAAAGGCAGATCATATTTGTCATCCAGCCAATCTTTGGAAATCCCCAAGGATGAAAATTCCACAGCTTTTCAAGTACCTGTTTCATATAAGAATCCACACTCTGAATTCTTCCCTCCCTAGATTTAATCATGATTTCCCTAGCTGCCTCTATGCTCCCCAAAACTGCCCTTGAGGTAGTGAAAGACAACAATCAGATCCCCTCTTTGACTTCTCTGCTCCAGGACAAACAAACAAACAAATCCAGCTCCCTCTCCATCTCATCAATCCACCTCCATCCCTCTGTAGCTCTCCCTTTTAGTGGAAAATGTTCTTTTTCCACTGCACTATCCACAAAGTATTTGCCTTTTCTTTTCCTTTTAATTTTTTAAAAATTTGTGGTTGCTATGCTACAACAAGCACATGGCTAAACCACAAAGCACTGCTGGAAGGAGTTTGTTGGAACACCCTCCTACCACTTTCCCACTCATTTGATGCACTATCAACAGGAGCAGGCACTCAGATAAGATCTGCTTATAAAATGTTATTTCCATCACTTTAATGCACAGAGAAAACAACTGTGATWAAAAAAAAGCAACACAGAATCAAGTTGCTTCAGTTCTGTTTGGTTAGTCTGAGTTACTCATGTTTAGGCTGATAGCAAACACTGAATGGGAGGAAAAAATTGAATGTTATTGAATTTGAATATTATTATTTGAGATGAATATTAAAGAAAGAGATAATAATGGCCAAAGTCTACATGAGCCTGCAAGAAATCAAMGGGGTTGGTGTGCAATGGTGAACTGTTGGTGAAGGCTCTTAGACCTTGGCAAGCTGTGCTAAAATTCCATCACATTTGGAGCACCTCAAAATTTTGGTGTTTTAATGAAAGCCAAAAGCACTGTGTTGTTTGGGAGGAGCTATCTCAYGTGCAGTACAGGATTATTTTGGACAGGATGGTGTAAGGAGACGAAAAAACTTTTGAGGTTTTGAAGACTTGTACAATCCAGCCTCTTTCTCCTGGTCCTAGGAAAGGTATTCCTCAGCCAAATGTAAACTCATTCATGGAAATGTTAAAAAATCAAAATGCCATTCACCACGCTGGTAATACATATAAACATAAATATAAAAAATATAACTATAACTATAAATATAAATGAAAGGCTCCCACCTGATAGTCTGGCTTGGTGAAGTAGTCTAGGCTTGCAATGTGATCCAGGAAAAGGTGGAACTCTGAAGGCATGTGTTTTAGCAGCATTCGGTGTTCATATTTCTCTTTTATCATGCCAACCTGCTCCTGGAAAAAACAAACAAACAAACAAACAAAATCTCAGAGCCAAGAATCTTTTCCATTGCTTCACATTTATAAAGGTTTATCATTCCTGGAACAGCCTCTTCCTAGACCCAGCACAGTGTCACACACTTCTCCTGTTTGCTGTCCCAAGCACAGGCAGAGGTCAAAGGGGAATCCTGAGTCAGAAGCTTTCTGCACAGGTGACCTCCTTCTTTCMAGGGATTTTACTCTTTAGCACCAACTATTTCCAAGACAACACTTAGCTTTATTCTGTTTAACTTTCTAATTTCAAATCCCATTTGGCTTGTTTGGCACAGGAAGGCTTTATCATCCTGCCTTTTTAAAGGCTCTTTTCATCTGTCAAAAGGACAGCTCAGTCTTTCCACTTGTATCATTTGCTTTGCCAAAAAAAAAAAAGAAAAAAAAATCACTTGATCAAATATGGTTAAAAATGTGCATTAAGAATGTCTAATTACTCCAAATAAGAGAAGGCCACCCTGTGTATCAGAATACACAAAAACAGGACAGCATCTTGCAGCAAGATCTCATGAAAAGGAGACTGGCTTTGCTCCAGAAAAAAAAAGCCGCACTGAGCTGCAGGAGGAATAGAGAAGAATCATAATAATTAAAATGCAGCACCCTCTTTTAAGCACAGACACCAAGTTTCCTACCTTATCTTTGATCTTTCTCCACGGAAGCTGCCCCACGGCAAACTCCACCAGCATGTAAAAGAGGGACCAGAGATCRTCGTGCCGACCCATCTCCTGGAGAAAACAGAGACCAAGACTGAGGAGCCAAGTTCCACACTGCTCAGGGGTCCAGGTGTACCCTCCAGATGAGCCACCTCATTTTGAAGGGCAGGAAGAGAAGTCACACTTTCCATTCAATAATTCAAGAAGCCAAAATAAAGGCTAAAGATACATATTTATTAATGGGATGCAGAGTAACCTAGATTAAAAAAAACACCCAAGCTGTATGTAGAACATAATATTATTTTTGAGCCTAAATATAATTTGTACTTTTCTCACAAGAAGGYATTTGCTCAAGGGCTTTTGCAAAAAACTCACCATCATGCACCACAACGATTTATAGATCTATAACATATCCACTTACAACTCTCCTCCTGGGCTAGTGAATGGGAAATCGAAACATGGGGATAAAGGCTGAAATTGTCAAAGCACATGAATTCATTTCTGGTGCTCAACTTCCAATGTCTAGGATATGATTTCTCAAAATAGCCTGCATTATACAGCAATTTTTGGGTCTAAATATACATTCAGCTGATGCCAGCTACAGCTGGGCCTACTCAGCTCTCACAAAAATGATACCTCAGGTTTCTCTGTGTCTCCCAGGAAACAGAAAGGATTCRTGATGGCATCCAACTGCCCTCCTCACATTACCCTTTCTACCTTCCTTCCCTAAAAAACCTGACACCAGAAACCTGGAGGTAACACAGGAGGGCTGACAGTTTCCATCTGGCAGGCACTCAGCAGCAGAACTGCAGAACTCAGAACCACACAATTTGCTAAATTGGAAGTGACCCATCAGGATCATCRAGTCCAAGTCCTGGCCCTGTGCAGGACAYCCCAAGAATCACACCCTGGGCCTGAGAGTATTTGTCCACACTCACTRTTCACTGTCTGCAGAGGAACACTATCAAAACAGGACACAGCAGTGTTTTGAGAAGAAAGTAAGTTGAGCCTTCTAGAAGCATTTATAATGAAACAGGCCAGATACGATGTAAATAATGATTCTTCTCAGAAAAAATAAACCTAGCTTTCAATAGGTGGCTCTTCACTGGATGGGGTGATGTTAATATTAAAAATTACAGATGAAGAATGGATTTGGGGCTTGGCACTTGATAATTCCTGGACATGTTCTGCTAGAAACTAGCAGCAAGCAGTCTGGCATTCAGCCAGATTTCTCCTTCAGTGTGGTTTACTTTTGCCTTTAAACAGTGCCTGGCAATGCAATAATTACAATCATTAAGTCTGCCAGCTAGACAGGATCCAATAACTGAACCATAATTTTGATTTTACAGTCAACAGTCTCAAGTACATAATAGAAAATTCTTCTGATATATGTACTAACTTCTGTGGATTACAAACCAGAAACCAGGCCTCTTGCTCCTTTGCTCCTGAAAACAGGTTTCTGAGAGGAAATTACCTTATTAGAAACTGCTTATAATCCCAAAACACTCACCCTGTTTTTGTGTGCATTCACGGAGGCATAGCGGACAGTTCCTCGGAAACCAGCAACGTTGCGAGGCTGGAGGGAGACAAGAGAAACATCTCAGAGACAGAGCAGGTGTCTGAGCCCCCTGTGCAGCCAGCTCCTGAGAAATTCTTGTCTCTACTGCTGCTCTGTGTGCACCCAGGGGATACAAGGCTCTCACTGCCTCCCTGTGCTCTAGCAGCTAACTCTGCAGAGAAGGCAAAGTGGTCACAGTGGTTGTTAGAGCAGCAACAGTCCAGGCACAGAGACAAGAACAGCAACCAGGACCAGATTTTCCTTTTTAAACTCCAGGTCAAGGGAAAAGCCAGAAAAGGAGTGCAAGTGCAAAATTGAGTCATGAGAAACGTGAGCTAAGCAGAGCCTGAGGGCAGCCTGGTCAGGATGGAAATGGAGATCACCTGCTCGGACACCAGGAGATGACCACACACCTTTGCTGACACTGCTGGTCAGCAAATGCTGTAAGACTTCAAGAAATTAAAAACCTCTGACTTTCAGAGCTCTTGCTTTGTTCCACATTCTTCCCAGTATATCTGTCTTTATTTTCTCTTTCCCTGATCCTCTTTTTCATGCTTGATACAGTGGCTGTGGAAAGGCAGTCCTGTGCCTTATCTGTCCCATCTGGAGGGTTTTTCTGCTTTGGGGGYGAACTCTTTCTATTGCTGCCTTCACAAGAACATTAGACCACGTGAGTTTGCTTAATGCAGATGTYACTATTCTGAAAAACTTGCATTTAAATAATGACATCCACTAAATTCTCTTCGCTGAATTAATGAGACTTAACAGCAGTGCTTTCAAAATTCTTGTGGCCAAATTCTTGTGGCCCAGACTTCTTCCATGACGAGGCTAAGCTTGGGCAAAGAACTAAACAGACTCAAAATGAAGATCCTACTCCAACAAGAAAACTGAGCCCATTAATAACAAGTTAATTGAGTGACTTGTCCCACAGAGGCCCATTGATTCAGGTTTGTTCTTTCAGCTGTGCCTGTGCTCTCAGAACTAGGCTTTAGACCCCATACTTTTATTCTAGGGCACCCTTCTGTCACCTTAAAAAAATACAATTCAGTTGCTTCTTTTTGGATGCAGAGAAGTTGCTCTGAATTTCAATATTCTCAGAAAGGATAAAATTTCAAATGTTTTTTAAACAAGTTCACCAACACCATGTACCATACCCACACCAATGTGGTGTACACTGCAGCTTCGAAGTTATAATGACTTTGAACAAAAAAAAGCTGCAAGTCTGCCTCACAAATCTTTTCTGCTAATCAAATACTCTACAAGGAGAASCCATATGCACATCCCATGCACTTGATGCAGTATTTAATCTTGCAGTGCACCAGCTTGAGCTGTAAGRTGCTTATTTAGCAGCAGGTAATAGCAGAGATATTACATTTGTGATCCTGTACCTCGTTGCTTTCAGAGCTATGCAATTCAGGATTCCCACTGACAAATAACYGCAAAATATTTTCCAGAATTCCAGAGAATTCACTGATGTGGGTTCCTGAAAAGCAGAATACTGGCCACTGGAAWGCAGCCATCACCATAAATTTGCTCTACACATTCAAAAGCGAGAGGACATTCTCCTTTTCCATTATGAATGGATACTTTCCATGAGCCATAAGAGTGTACCATGAATGATTCTAACATGTAGCCTGTAATGTTTTCAGAACAAAAATGATGCAATTTTTGCAGTCCATGCAACTTWATCTCTCAGGCTCCATCCCTGCTTCAAGGCTTCAGTTATCAGCTGTGCACATTCTGGACCAAGTACCACGTGTGCCAGCTTCAGTGTGGTCGGCAACATCTCTAAAAATGGTTGTAGATCAATACTCGCTATTTCTGGCACACTTTAATTAGAACTGCTCCGAAACCAGTGCCAGGCACTTTGCAAGTGCATKCCCTCCTCTCTCAGAAGCAAAGCAAAGCCCAGGTTTTGGTGCAGGCTCTGAACCACGCACCTGTCCCACAGCCAACACGAGTAATCCCACTCCTGAACCCACAGGGCTTTCCAGAGCAAGAYTGGAATTGCTTTGTCAGGACCTTTAGAATCCTTTGAAAGAAATAGGCAGATGTTGACTGTGAACAGAGTCTTTTAACCCGGTTTGACTGCCCTGCCAGTCACAAAGAATTGTCACTGCAACTGAGTATTTCCCAGGCTTGTTCTTCATCCTCCCTGGGCATTTGTTGTAGCACATATTGTATACCCAAMTATCACTGACTTTGCTTCTGAATTTATAAACATTCGTTTTCCAGATGATTTCTTTACGTGCTTCACTTGTTCCAGTTAATAAATTTCATCCCATCTCYGCACTGGCCAGCAATGGGAAAGAGCCTGGATAAAGCATCCTTGTTTGTCCAGACCAGTCAACATTTGACACAGAATTGAAATTGTAACAATTAGGAGCTTGAGACTGTGGAATTATATATAATCCAACTGATTTGTATCCCCAAAATTATGAATACATAATAAACTAGCAAGTTGAAATACAATTTTAAACCACAGATGATTTTTTTACACATTTGTATTACTATAAAAAATGTTACAAAGTGTATCTCTTCTTTCATTCATAGTGTGTCTACCATAAAGGTGAAGCACTTTATTACACAGTGCTGCATTGTGTTAGAAGCTTGGTTTAAAATTCATTTCAGCTTGGGAGAATGTGTCAGATCACTACCATAGAGCAAAATCTACACTCTGTGTTCCTTCCACTGCATTACCAATGTAGACTGACTCACAGATAGAGAAAGAACCAGGTAATGAAATCCTGGATGAAGTGGATGCATTTTCCAAACTGTGCTCTTTTACACCCATCAGCTTTTCATCAATTCTCCAGATCAGTTAGGATTTGTATTTCAAGTGCTAACAGTGTTTCCCTCGTGAGCCACATGAAGTCTGTCTCTCCTCCTGTACACTYCCTTTTTATTTGAGGAGTGCTGAYATTTCCTCACTAAYCTGCATCTCTGCTCCYTACACCATATTCATTCACAGAGATWAAAATTATTCCTTTTGCCTCACTGGCAAAAATCAACTGGATATTTTGAATGTCCAGGTTTCCAGCTGCCTTCCTACAAACTCSTATTTGGATGGCAGTGCTTTGTTCCTGCTGTTTGTTGTGACTGTGGTGCCCTTGTGGCACAGGACCATTGGTTCCTCCCCAGCTTTCTGGAAGCCTGTGCAGACACCTCCTGAGATGCACCACCTTTGTCCCTGGCAGTCCTGCTGCCATCTGGGATCAGCAACCCATCTCTGCTGGCATCACTAAAAAGGATTTTCAGCAGGTAAGAATGTGAAAAAAAAAAAAGTTAGAGCAGATTGAAGAGAAGGTGGTAACGGGAGAGAGGAAATGCCACAGATCATGGAAAGCACTTGGAGATATATCTTGGAAAGGTTGTGATAAGAAGGAAAATGAAAGCAAGCTTTAACTGAACTAAAATGAAGTGTCCCTGTGATCTCTAGGAACMTTCTGCTTCTTCAGACAGGGATGTGCATCTCCACCTCTTCTGGTGGGGACAAAATCCACACCCCTTGCATTTTGACTCGCTAATTTAAACACTTTGTAGGATCATTAATGACTGCATCGTATTTTATGCCCATGGGGAGTCAGAAATGAATAGAGGAAGCTGGAGACAGAAATGTAAGATGAGAAACTCCCCTCCCTTTGCCTCTGAAACCACAGAATTGACAAAATCAGCCTGACACCACCCAAATATCTGCCAGCCCCTCACGCAGAATCCCAAGTTTCTAGGCCTTTCCATCACATTTAGGTAGCTGTCACGATCCTGCTGAAAAACAAACATATCATGAGGAGAAAAAAGAAAACCAGGTGTAATTTGGACTTCCATAAATAACAAAAGCACAAACCAAAATGAAAACCCAGAAGCATGGTGATGGCTCACTCACAACTCATAGCAGAGATGGTTACGAGCAGCGGATGGGAAGCCAACGCATCAAACACAGCCTCAAAAGAAGAGCCCAAAAGAACTGTAAAACAGAGAAAAACCCAAAGAAAAACATGATAAAAAAAACAACAAAATGAGAAAAAAATCGAACAGAAATGAATTAAAAAACATTCAATATTGTACCCAACAGAAACCTGTGTCTTGTTCAGCTGTTGCYGTCTCCCATCACCCTTCCCAGGGCTGCTGGCCCATCCTGTGCTGAGTTTCATTCAGAATTCACAAAAGACACGAAGGTTGTGTGAGCCTGTGTGGTTTGTGAGTGCTCTGTGAGCGGTGAGAGGGGGCCCTCTAGGGAGAACCTTCCCCTGCCTGCACACCACACCTAGYAAGTGAAAAAACCAAGCTGAGAGCAGCAATGCTGGAGCCTCACCACGGGAGAGTTGTGTGGTTATGCCGTGATTTTCTTTCCTACAATTATCTGATGTGTACACTTCCCTTCCTCCCCTAAACTCATCCAATAATCAGCAAAGGATTTGCTTTCTCAACTCTTACCCTTTTCACCCAGTGCAAGTTCTAACATCAGCACACAAATTCCCAAAAATCAACAGCAATGTCTCCCTTTCCTGTTTGAATTGTTATGGGTTCTCATCCAAATTATTTGTGTTTTTTTCTGCAAACACCACCTTGCTTTGTCACGATCAATCTCCACACAAACAGTGGCTCGCCAACTTTACAGGTTTCACAAATACCATCTTCAGGCACGTTTCCTTTCCCTGATGACTGCTGCAGTGCTCCACTGTCCATGAGGTGGTTTGGGAGGGGGCAGGATGAAAATCAGCACTGCTTTTAGATCACATGAGCAGTCACTGCATCTGTGAGTGGCACAGCAGAGAAATCTGATGGCCACCCCTATCAGAGGCAAGAGCTAATATTACAATATGTTATATAACCTTAAAACTCAATTCAYAGACCTGAGGGAAGACCTTGGCTGAGAGACACTTACTCCAACAGAAATCAAGTAATCAAAAACAATCCACACAGTGGAGCTTCTTATTTGAGTCGCACTATTCCCCTTTCCTAAAACTGTGCAAATCCTAAGAAATCCATAAGCTTCACATGAAATTTAATTTTGAGAA